TTGCCATATTGTTTTTACGTGGTTGATTGTGTTGTGAAAACAATAATGTCAGGAGCAGGGAACCTTGTACAAGGCCTTGTTAAATTGTTTCTTTGGCCTCCCACATGTACCCCTTTTGCGACCAAAGTGGAGCATGGTTCCCCCAAGTTGCCCCTGCAAAGGAACTGGGAAAACTGATTTTCCAAAATCATTCACTAACGTGTCTCGAATCCATGCTGGCAAATTCAGGTCAGGGCCTTGGACAGTGTTTATAAGGATCTATGGGAGGGTCCCCTTTTGGCCCCAAATTTGTGGATGTTGTTGACCAGTTTGAACGGGGTGCGGTGTGGTGTTTTCCCTGGTTATCTGATTGACTTGGGGGTATGGTTCCTTGGCCTTGGCCATTTCTGCCGGGGTAGCGTGCGCTGTGCTGTTGTTGGGGGTAAAACCACACAACACAATTGTTTAAAGGATAGGTCGGAACTCCGCTACAATGCGTTTCCATTCTTCTATTCCATTGCAATCCAATATTTCGTATCTTTTTAATGGGCCGTTAGCAAATAGGATTCCAACGAACTAAATTCAAGGCACAAATGTTTTTATGGACATCAAATTTTTATATTTTAAAGGAGAAAAAAGTTATACTATTTTAGTTTTTTCTTTTAAATGAAAATGTTTTTGCTGAACCCCCACTATTTGTCAAAAAAAATTATAAAATACAGGGGGGACCGACCCTTAAAGTTGCGAATTTTGTATATCTCTCATTTAATCAGCCACTGTGGTTATACAGGAATAAGGACAGATGTTTGGTTATAGTAGAATGAAGACCCAGATGTTTGGTGTGGCAGCAACATAAAGACCGAATGTATATGGCTGTATCAGAATAAAGGACAAGATGTTGGTATAGGCCAGGAATAAGGGGGACAGATTGTTTGCTTGAGCCAGAAGTAAGACAGAGTTTGGTATAGCAGGAGGGACCAGATTTTCTTAAAAAGAAGCTGAGGACGATGTTTGGCTAATGTAACAGAAGTAGAACTGGTTGTTAAAAAAGAGGACAAGATGTTGGATAAGGGCAGAAGTAAAGACAGATGTTGGTATAAAGAAAACGGACCCAGATGGTTTGGTATTGCATGAACTGAAGGAACAAGAGTTTGGTGCAGAAGTATACGGATGTTGGCATAGCAGGGAAGGTACCGTTGGTGGTTTTGGTTAACAGGGCAGGGAATTAAGACCCACATGTTTTGTATAGCAGAAGGTTGGTAGGGACAGACTGTTGGTGTGCAGGAATTAGACAGATGTTGGCACTTGTAGCAGATTAGTTGAACAGATATTTGGTATAGCGAATAAACTCAATTGTTTTCGGGGTAGCAGAATTAAGACAGGATTGTTTGGTTAGCAGAGTAAGATCGGATGTTTCGGTATTAGGCCGAAGGTAAGACAGATGTCTTGGTATAGCAGAAGTAAGCACAATGGTTTGGTTACAGCAAGAATTAAGGGACCACTATGTTGGCGTAATAGCAGGAAGTGTGAGACGATGGTTTGGGTCGAGAGAAGTAAAAGCACAGATGTTTGGTACGCCGAATTAAGACACATGTTTGGTATAGCAGAAGTGAGGGGACAGATGGGTTTAGGTATAGCAGAAAGTAGGAACAAGGATGTTTGGTCAGCGATTAAGGTGCAACCATGTTGGGTATAGCGAAGCCAGGACAGAATGTTTGTTAGCATGAATAAAAGGGAAGATGGTTTGGTGTAGACCGAATAAGCAGATATTTGGTATAGCGATTAAACTCAATGGGTTGGTGTAGGCAAATGTAAGAACAGAATGTTTGGGTTATAGCAGAAGTAGAGCGATGGGTTTGGGTATAGCAGAAGTGAAGGACACCTTGTGTCGGTATAGCAGAAGCAAGACAGATTGTCTTGGTGTAGCAGAATTAATACAGATGGTTTGTGGTAGCAGGAGAATTAAAGACAGGATTTTGCTATAGCCAAGAATATTAACTTCCCAATGTATTGGGCTGTAGCGAAATTAAGGGACCAGATGTTGGCTATAGGCAGGGAAAGTAAGACGATGGTTTGGGTGTAGGCAGATTTTTAAGGTACAGAGTTTGGTATAGGCAGGAAAAGACAGTGTTTGGTAGCAGGAAGTAAGCACAGATGTTGTATAGCAGGATGGTAAGGGGGGGACCGATGTTTTTGTACAAACGAATTAAGGACACATGTTGGTATGGCAGAAGTGAGGGGAATGATGTTTGGGGTATAGGCAGGAGTAAGACAGGATTTTTGGTTACCGCAAAGAATTAAGCACATGTTTGGTATGCAGAGTGAGACAGATGGTTTTGGTGTTAGCAGAATTAGGACAGATGGTTGATAGCCAGAGCAAGATCAGAATGTTTGGTGTAGCCAGAATTTAAGGGGACAGATTTTGGTGTAGCAGGAATTAACCTCAATTGTTTGGTGATAGAGATTAAGCAGATGTTTGGTATAGCAGACATTAAAACTCAAGTTTTGGTGTAGCAGGAAGTAGACCAGATTTTGGGTTATAGGCGAAGTAAGACGGGATGTTTGGTATGCAGGAAGTACGACGATGTTTGGTACAGCCAGGAAGTGAGGACAGAATGTTGGTATAGCAGAAGGCAGAACAGATGGCGTTTGGTAAATAGGCAGGAAGTAAGTGACAGGATTTTGGTATAGTCAGAAGTGCGATAGATGTTTGGCTGTATTAGCAGAATTAAACTCAAAATGTTTGGTGTGGGCAGAATTAAAGACAGATGTTTGGTATAGCAGCATTAATTGCATGTTTGGTTGTGCAGAATTAAGACAGATGTTTTGGGTTTAGGCAGAATTAAACTCAGTTTGGGTGGGAGAGAATTAGACAGATGTTTGTTTAGGCAGAAGCTACCTCAATGTTTGGTTATGCAGAAGTAGGACGATGTCTGGTATAGGCAGGGAAGTTAAGGACCAGATGTTTTGGTTCAGCCAGGAAGTGAGACAGAATGTTTGGTATGCAGAGCAAGACAGATGTTTGGTATAGCAGAAAAAGTAAGGACCAGGATGTCTTGGTATAGCAGAATTAAGACAGAGTGTTGGTACAGGCAGGACTTCAAAACTCCAATGTTTGGTGGTGAAAGAATGAAGACGATGTTTGATAGCA